GTGCAAGCTGCTCGGTAGCTAGCGACAAGGGAGCACAAGTGTGTGGCTAGGTCAGAGACAGTCGCAAAAGAGCCGAGGTCGGGAAACACGAACGGCATGAGGATGCGGCTGAGGGAGGCAGAGGAAGGGGTGGAATAGCGTGCAGAAATAGCATCATACACCTCCTTCGCAGTCTCTACCAGGTCGAAGTGAGCGGCCTCAGTCGGTGGAAGGAGCTCAGTCAGCGCGAGTGCAGCCGCAGCGTCACGGGAGTCCCAAACGTCCCGCGCCAAGACGAGACGAGCGTAGTCCGCCTGTGCCTCCGGAGTCGAGGGGGGCACGGCAGGGAGGGGCTCGGGACGCGGTGGTGCCTGGAGGGCGCCGGACGCGTGGGCGTACAGGGTGGCGCCGTCCTGGCGCTGACTGGTGAGATAGCGCTGAGTCTGGCGGAGCCAGGTGCCGAACTTTATCGGGCGCCCCTCTGCATCGAAACGAAGGCGGCGGGAGGAGTCCATATTGGACGCTAGGCTAGGAACAGCTGGAGCACGGAGCAAACGGAGCTAGGAGCGAGGAGCGCCAGGTGGGACTAGGCGAGGTACTGCTGGAGCACGGAGGAAAACTGAGCTAGGAACGCCAGTCTAGTAACGAACGGAGCTGGGAGTTAGCTGACCTAGGAGCACACGGCTGGAGGAGGCAGGGCTGACGAGCCGATCGAGGAGCCAGAGGGTCGTTCGAGGGGCTGGCGGAGCGAGGAGAGACCTAGCTAACAACGAACGTCAGGACTAGCCTAAACAGCTAAGCGGAGCGGCCTCCAGCCGCGACGGTGCGAAACACTGTGAGTATGAGTGACGCGAGTGTCGAACCAACGGAGGTCGGGTGGTCCTGGGTGGTGTGCGCGCGTGATAAGGGGATGTGAGCGTTTGGAAGGGGCTCTGAGCGGTTGGAAGGGGCTGTGAGCGGTTGGAAGGGGCTGTGAGCGGTTGGAACGGGCTGTGAGCGGTTGGAAGGGGCTGTGAGCGGTTGGAAGGGGCTGTGAGCGGTTGAAAGGGGCTGTGGGCGGGTGGGAGGGGCTAGCTGGCGCCAGCTGCTGGCGGCTAGGTTCCGGTGGCTAGCTGCTGCTGGCGGCTAGCTTCTGCCTAGCCGTGCTGCTGCTGCAGGAGCACGCGCTGCTGCCTAGCCGTGCTGCTGCTGCAATGCACACGTTGCTGCCTAGCCGTGCTGCTGCTGCAATGCACGCGCTGCTGCCTAGCCGTGCTGCTGCTGCAATGCACGCGCTGCTGCCTAGCCGTGCTGCTGCAGCAAAGCACGCGCTGCTGCTGCAATGTGCGTGCTGCAGTGGCGTGCGCGGCTGCCGCTGGCTAACGCGCGCGCTGCTGCGGGCTAAGAACGACTACGCGGGCCCGGGGGGGGGGGGGGGGGGAGAGTCCCTTCTGGAGCGCGACGAAACGAGGGGCCAGTGGGGCCCTGTAAACGCGACGAAAAACGAGGCCCGCGGGGGCCCTTAAACGCGACGAAAACGAGGCCCGCGGGGGCCCTTAAACGCGACGAAAACGAGGCCCGCGGGGGCCGTCCTACCCGCGACGAAACGGGGCCTAAGGGACGGGCGCCTCGGGACCGGCTAAGGGAGGGAGCGGAAGCGTGGGAGGGAGTAAAAAACCTACTCTAATACCATCTTAAGATAGGCTAGGAGACAAGTGTCGAGAGTAATGTTTGAGTAAGGAGGGACAAGGAGATACAAATGTCGACCTAAAGTGTTGTACCCTTTAGAGGGCAACTCACAGTAGCCTATCTAACAATATATAGAATATATAAACATTTGACACTGTGCAGTATCACGGGGGACGCAGACAAGGGGCAGCAGAGGTTACTAGTGTTGCAGGCAGAGGAGGATAGGTCTCCAACGGGGGAGAAACTTCTTGGAAGCCGAGGAAGCAAGGCGATCTGCCTGGAGCACAGAATGAGAGTAGGGGCATGGAACAACGGGAGTGAGGATGCGGAGGGCGTGGGAGGTGGAGCAGCAGGGTCTCAGGGGCACCTGAGGGTCTAGAGTGGAGCCTGAGAGGCATGGGGGGGGGAGGCTGATCCGGGGGAACAGAGGGGCGGTATAGCAGCATGTTGAAAGGTGGGAGATCAAGGATGAGGCGAGCTGTGGGAGTCACCAGGGGGGAACGAGCCCGACCCGGAGGGAGAAGGGGGGACGGCGTCGTAACGACGAAAGGCACGAAACTGGGAGGAGAGGCGGGTTGGAAGCACCGGGAGGAGGGGGGGGGAGGGGTGGTGTGAGCTGAGACCGTGAAGGGTGAAACAAACGCGACAGGGGTGCTGGAGAGGGAGCCAGGGTGGTCCAAGAGAGGTGGCTGGGGGCCCGACAGGCTTCCCGAAGCATAAGGCCGAACGCCAGCAGTGGCAAGTGAGGAGGGGTGAGCGCAAAGGCGTTGGCCACAGCGATTCACGTGAGCGGGCTGGCAGCCTGATCGGCATTCCGAGTCCGAAAGCCATGCGCAAAGGCATGGGTGTTGAGGTGAGGTGGAGGGCAGCGAGGCGATACAGAGAGCGACATTGCAGAACGTCAGGGAAAGCATATAATTCTGTGGCTTGAAACGGCTGCGCGTGGCTGGAGGGTGTGCGGTGCTACTTACCCGAGAAGGTGAGCGAAAGTGGTTGCACGGACAAGCTTGGGGTTGCCACCGCTGCCAAAAATAGAAGTACGGCGAAGGTGAGGCGAGAACGCAGTAGCACAAAGAGCGGGAAGGGCGCAGCGCGGGGGCGGGCGGCAAGCTTTCCGTTCCACGCCAGTGGCGCCGACCGGACTCGCGAAGGAGCGACTTGGAGGCGAGGCGCGCGTCCAAGCCTAGTTGGGAGCGTCGGCATGCTTGGCAGAAAAATTGGGAGAGGCGTGAAGGGGGGGCGAACACAAATAGCCGGAGATAGCAAAGAGTTGGGCAAAAACGTGAGGACGGGGAAGCGAGAGGGGGCGGAGCAATGAAAAACAGCGCGTGTTTATGCGGACAAGTTCCTGGCGGAGGCGGGGGGTTATCCGTCGGCGGCGGCGCGAGGACATCGTAGGGCTTCCGGCGACCCTGAACTGCTCCAAGGTGACAGCGAGAGCGAGAGCAGGTGAGCGATAGCGCGCGAGAAGAACTGAGAGCATGCGAGCGAGAGCGAGAGCGTGAGGAACGAAAGGCGAAGCTTTTCGGGTTAAGGCGTAGGGTATGAAAATAGGGCGGGTTTGACCTTGGAGTTGCTACGACCTGAGCCCTGCATGTCGGCGTAAGGTTAGCAAAGGAGATCGAGGTGAGCAGCGGAAGCAGACCGAAGAGGAGGACCAACTTACCTGGCGCCGAATCGATGTCGAGTGACGGGAACCAGCCTGATCGGCGACGGTTTGACAGTCGAACGGTGGAATAGGCAAGTAAGCTGGGGCTGCGATTATCCGCGGTAGGTAAAAACCTAGGTGACAGCCTAGGTGGCGACATAGTCGGGGTGGGTGGCGGAGAGGTCGTTGGCAGATAGGTTTGGAGCGGGGGTTGGGGGGGGAAGGGTGTTCGGTGGAAGCAATGGGGAAGTGGTCTTCAAGGGGGTCACTTCACATAAAGGCCACGTTATGTAGGCACCGCCGTGGTAGGTAGGAGCGGGGGCAAGGTAAATTACGAGGGCTCTTAAGCAGTTTACCCTTCGACATCACCCCCCTCCTGCTACAACCGAAAGTGAGAAATTTCGGATGCTCGGGTGGAAGGCTCTGAAGGCAAATGACGAAAAAACAAGAACAATTTCGCACGCACACTTCATGGGTAGATAGAGCTCCGCCAAATCAGAACGAGAGTTGAAGTTGAGAGAAGGGTAATCAGATGGAAGAAATTCGACCCCTAGCACACCCACCTGCAAGACACAAACCTCGATAATTTCTTTTTCCAGTTAGTGTTGCTGCGTCCCTGTTTTGGCTTTTCGAGGTTAGGGGTGTTGGCTTTCTAGGGTTCCGGTGTGGTGTTCCCTAACCCACCGCCTCCCTTCTCCCTCCGTCGCACATCCCCGAATAAGCAGTTTTCGAAGGGGGGGGCGAAGGAGGCAAAATTTGCCAGCCTAGGAAGGTGGGGAGGGGATTGGGAGGCTTCCTACGTCCTCATATCCGCGAGGGTAAATGGCTGTTCTGTTGCCATTCACGGCGTGTTGCAATTCGCGGTGCACTGCATCGGTCGGCTCGTGGCACGGGTTTAGGAAGGCTCCGAGAACACAAGAGGCCGTAAATTACAGGAAAACTTTTACAAAAAAGTCCTAATAAAACCTTGAGAAATAACTCTTTGCATCACTATCTTGAAAGATTTCTTTCCCATATCAGTGCCCGTGTTTGGCCTCCCGCCTGCCTGGAGCCTTCCAAACGTCCCGAACCGATGCGGTGCACCGGCAATTGCAACACGCCGTTACCTTCGTTTACGTTCGGAGGGAATGGGAGGCTCGGAACCATTTTTCGGGCTGACCGCTCTTTCAACCCAAAAAACGCAGTAGGGAGAAGGTTCCTATTTACCGGGCCCCCCCCCCCCCTCTGTCGTGGCTGCAGAACGCAGCCGAAGTGTCAGGGTCAGGGTTTAATAAGTCGGCAAAAACAGCCCCAAAGTGTCACTGAAAGTCTCCTCTATGTGGGGTCCCCAAATTCCCACAGTTTTCAACCTTTCTCAAGGCACCAGGGTATCGTTCAAATGTACTCCTAGAACGGGGGATGTTCGAGTACAGTACCTCGGGAGTGTCACGAGCATCCCAAGCAGCCTCTCCTGTGGGCACGTTGGATTGGAATCCCACCACTCACCGCGGCTTCGCTTCGCCTCGCCTCGTCTCGCCGCGCCGCGCCCCTCCAGTCGCGTGATCCTACAGCGGGATTGTCCTCGACGGGGCCCGTCTGCAACACGACCCGCAGCGACCAATTTCCCGCGCAGCGATCGCACGATCGCACAGACGTCGCCCTCGCAGTGCGATTGGAGCACCGCCACGTCAGCATCACCTGGCCGCGTCGCTCTATCTCCGCGCGAATGGCGTCTGCCTGGGACTGCCCGCGCTGCACCTTCGCCAACTCCCCCGCTTCCTCTGCGGCGGCGGGCGCGGCGTCGTGGCGCGAGGCGGAGTGCGCCGTGTGCGGCTACCGGCGCGCACACGTGGATCTCGACGACGATGACGTGGACGAGAGGGACCCGGAGGAGCGCCACGTGGCGGCGGAGGAGCGCGATGCGGCGTGGGCGTGCGGCGTGTGTACTCTCCTCAACGAGGTTGCTGCTGCTCGCTGCGCTGCCTGCGACTCGGTACCGCTCTCTACCGTGTCAAACCCTGACGTGCTGGGCTGAGCTGTTTCCGTCGTTCCTGATACCCCATAGCGCCACGACCTTGCTCTGTCTCTGCCCCACCGTATCCTTTCCCCACCTTCCCCCCTCACCTCCCTCTGCCTGTCGGCGCGCAGCTTCCCCCCGCGCACAGGAGCAGCGACGACGGGGAGGCTGCTTTGGGGGCGGAAAGAGGGAGCGAGGGAGGGAGCGGGGGGCAGGGGGAGGGGAGCAGAGAGTTGAAGTTGGAGGAGAGGCGCAATGGCGGGGCGGGGGAGAGCGGGAGCGGGGAGAAGGAGACGGGGGAGGATGGAGGGGTGGGACGAAGGGAAGAACGTGGGGAGGCGGGGAGGGGGGCCGAGGGCACGTCGGGGAATGAGTGGCTGCGACTGCTGCACGAGGCGAGGGTGAAGAGACAGCGCCGGGGCGAGACGAGTGCAGGGGCGAGGGGTGGCAGTGAGAGCAGGACACAGACACACACGGTGAAAGAGGAGGAGGAGGAGGAGGAGGAGAAGCATCAGGATGAGCAGGAGAAGGAGAGAGCCAAGGAGAAGGAACCAGGTGTGCGATGAACCCCACTTTCCTTCCCCCCCTCTCCCACTGCCTCCTCTCTCCCCCCACCTCCCACCCACCCCTCCCCCTTCTCCCCGTTCTCCGCCACTGCATCACCCGTACGGGCCTCTCCTCTTGCACCCGTTGCTGGAGAGCAGAGGGCGTATGGGTCCAAGTGCATGGAGTGCATGGAGTGCATGGAGTGCATGCCGTGCACCTGTGGCCTCTTCACTGCATGTGCACTGCTCCCACTGCTACCTGCTGCAAACCCCACTGGCTCACCAAGGGGCAGCAAGGGTGTGGCAGCAGGGACGTGCGAGTGGGGTTGGGCCAGATAGCCCCTGTGCAGCGCCGGTGGGAGAGGGGTGGAGTGGGTGGTGTGAGAGTGAGTGGAGGGTGTGGTGCATCGTGCCGGCGCGTGCTGCTGCATGCCTCCACTCCGCTCACTACCACTCCCCCTATCAACAACTGCCCTCCACCCATTCATTCCTCATGCCCTCACCTGCTCTCCTCACTCCCTTCTCCCTCTGTCCCACTTTCCCTCCCGTCCCCACTCGCTCCTCCCTCCCGCCTCCGCCCCCTTCCCCCCTCTCCCTCCACCTGGTGAGCAGCCGTCACGAGCACGAGCGTGAGTGCGAGTGCGAGCGCGAGGGTAAGCATAATGACGTGGAACGTGTGGTTCAACGAGGAGGCGGCACTGCAGCACCGCATGAACGCCATAGGCGCCGCCATCCTCCACCACCGCCCCCATGTCGTCTGCCTGCAGGTGCTGTCTCGTACCATGCTGTGCTGTCTCCTACCATGCCGTGCTGTCTCCTACCATGCCGTGCTGTCTCCTACCATGCCGTGCTGTCTCGTGCCATGCCGTGCTGTCTCGTGCCATGCCGTGCTGTGCCATGCCAACACTGGCTCAGTTCAAGAAGGGTGTGGTGTGAGTGTGGTGCACGGTGTGAGGTGAGTGTGGTGCAGGAGAAGCACGGTCTCTTGCACTCTCGTACTCTCTTCATCTACCACTTTCCAGTGTTTTTCCAGCCTTGCATCCCACCGCCTCCCCATCTCCTACCGCTCTCTTGTTCCCACACCCCTCCCTGCGGCCGTCCCCACACCGTCCCTGCCCTGCCATGGCGCAGGAGGTGACGCGTAGCATCGTGGAGCTCTTCTCCGCGCACCCGTGGTTCTCGGAGTACCGCCCCTGCTCGCCCCTGCGCGACCACCACATGCCGCCCTACTTCTGCCTCATCGTGCGTGCCCCCACCCATCCCTGCCTGCCATGCCCTGCTGCCATCGCATGCCCACCATCATCCGCACACCTGCCCTCATGCGCCCCATTCCATGCTCACAGCTCCACATGCCACACTGCACCTCGCATGTGTCCATGCCACCCTTGTGAGGTTCTCACAAGGGTCATGTGCTTCTCACAAGGGTCATGTGGTTTTCACATGTGTCCATGCCATACGACCTAACACGACCCTTGCTCCACTCATCCCTCTGTGGATGCATGTGAGAACCACTTAGCTGCTATAACTTCACATAGCAATGACTTTGATTGAGGGTAACATTACATTTGTGTGTGCTTGCTTGCTTGTGTACCCCTATGAATCTCTCGTTCTACTAACCTATTTCAGACCTCACAGTGACCCAGCTCACCCCACGCCACTTCGTCCCCCCCACGCTCGCTGTGACCTTGCAAGCAGCTGGCGCGCCTGGCAGTGCAGCAGCAGCACGTGCACCCCTTCGCCAACTCCATCATGGGCCGCCAGCTCCTCATCACCTCCTTCCGCCTCCCCCCCCTCGCCTCCAACGCTTCCTCCGCGCCCCCGTGTGTGCTCACGGTGGCCACAAGTCACCTGGAGTCCCCCTGCCCTGCGCCCCCCACGTGGGACCAACACTTCTCCCCCCAGCGCGTGCAGCAAGCTGCGGAGGCGCTCCGCCTGCTCCACTCCCAGCAGTGGCGGGAGCGGGGTGCAGAGAAAAAGCGCGCGCGGGAAGAGAGTGTTGCGGGGAATGGGGGGCGCAGTGGAGAGGGGGAGGGCGGTGGGGAGAGGGAGGACGTGGTGTTCTGTGGGGATATGAACTGGAATGATAAGCGGGACGGGGATGTGCCCATGCCACAGGGGTGGGTGGATGCATGGCAGCATCTGCACCCCCGTGAGGTGAGCACTCGTATGGGTAGGGAAGGGAACTGCCGAACAGGAGTAGCTTGAGTCCCTGCTGCTGCACTCACTCACCTCTCTTTCCACTCTCTGCCTTGCGTCAGGTGTGCACCGCATTGCTGCCTTACCTCTCATGCGCTGCTCAGCATCAGCTCAGATTCCGACCTCTCCCCGCCCTGCAACCCCCCACCTCGCCCCCCCATGCTAACCCACGCGCCCCTGAGGGCCTAGCAGGAGGGCTTCACATACGACAGTCGGTTGAATCCCATGCTGGCAGGGGGCCGCCTGCGCCTGCGCCTGGACCGCTGCTGGGTGCGCCTGCAGCACCTGCGCCTGCACTCCCTCTCCCTCCTCGGCACACACCCCATCCCCGGGGGCTCGTACTCGAAGCAGCGGCGCGTGAAGGGCCAGCCCACCATGGTGGACCTGCCTCTGCTGCCCAGTGACCACTTCGGCCTGCTGCTCGTGCTCAAACGGGGTGAGGGGGGGGCTGTGGGGGATGGGGATGGGAGAGCGGTTGCAAGTGCTAGTGGTGTTGGTGGTGATAATGGAGGGAGCAAGGGTGGTGAAGAGCAGGGGGGAGGAAGTGGAGAGCGAAAAGTTAGGAGTTCAAAGAAAGGAGGGACAAGGGTGAAAGGAACTTGAAATGTCGTTGTCAGGCTTCAAAACAGAACCCAACCCAGTGTGGATGAAGTTGGGTGTTTGCATTATTGTTACTTGAAGCGTTGTCTCGTGTGCCGCCCATTATAGTCTCTGCGTACACTTGCAAAAAAAATGCTGAAACATCAGAGAGGGCAAATAAAGAAACGGCTGATGAACCAACCAAGGTACAAAATATGTTAGTTTGCATGATGAATTATCCATCGTGAGAGGCACTTAGAAGGCTGATACTGTCAACATATAAGTTTCTACATGTATTTTGCAGGCTAACTTGGGTTTCCCTATAGAGAGTATAGAATGCCACTTATACCCCCAATTTCCTCACGAGTCTTTCATTTGGGTATTGACATAGGTTTCGCGCTTCCGCCCCACCTACCTCCCTGCCCCCCTACTCTCACGCCCGCTTTTAGCGGCCCCCTCTAGCGACCCGTCGCTGCCCCCTCCAGTGGCTTCGTCACGCTGTGCCGTCGTGTCCTCCCAAGCACCACCGTCGCGCCCCGTCACACCCCAGCAGCTTGATATAATTAATATTCCACGTTCCGTTTTCTTTTCTCATATAAAGGGTATATCGATCGTGTCAGAATGTGATATTTGTCTAGTCTGCAGCGGGGTACTCTATAGTGAGTATAGCCGAGTCAGGGTTTGCTATTTGTATCCCAACTGCCTGCTAGTGAAAACCCTCTTCCTTTCATTACTGTTATACCTAGCTACTTCAACATGCTATCAGAGCGTCTACGCTCCTGGCCTATGGGCCCACCTGCTTCCGCTGCTGTACTGTCTGTCGCGCGCCCCGTGGCGCGCGACGTTTTTTCTTCCCGCCACGCGCTCGAGGCGCGTGGCGGTTTTCTGCCCGCCACGCGCTCGGGGCGCGTGGTGGTTTCCTTCCCGTCGCGCGCCCCGTGCGCGCGCGGCGGTTTCACGCTCCGTCTCGGGGCTCCCGGGGACCCGCGCGCCGCCCCCCGTCGCCCGTCGCGGCGCCCCCGGGGACCCGCGCGCTCCCCTCGTTGTCCATCGCGGCGCCCCCAAGGACCCGTCGCCCGTCGCGGCGCCCTCGGGGACCCACGCACCGTCCCCCGTCGCCTGTCGCGGCGCCCCCGGGGACCCGCCCGCCACCCCTTGACCCCGTGCGCCGCGGGGCTGCTTCCCCCCCGCCCCTCCCCTTTCTCCTTCCTCTCCCTCCTACGCGTGTTGCTATGGGGGTGGCGGGTGTGTGAGCTGTCCCCTGCTCCTCCTCCTCCTCCGTCTCCCACTGCTACAGCTGCCACTAAGGGGGGTGGATGTGTGGGAGCCGAGGGAGTGGCGCTAGGGGGGTGCCGTGGGAGTGGAGCTAGGAGTGCATAGGGGGGTGTGTGAAAGGGGGTCTGCGATAGTGGGGGAGGTTGAACGGAGGTAGCCGTTGTGGCGCCAGCAGCGCCAGTAGTCCGGATGCCCTTGCTCCGGTAGCCAGCGAGCCCGTTGCGCCAATCGCCCGTGGGTCCGTTGCTCCAGCCGCTTGTCTTAGCCGCGGAGCCAGTTACTCCAGTAGTCCGGGGCCCTTGCTCCGGTAGCCCGTGTACTAGTTGCTCCAGTAGCCCGTGTGCCAGCAGCTTCAGCCGCCGCCTCCAATCTCCTCTCCTCTCACAAACCCTCCTCCTCCTCACGAGTCCGCTATGTCTCCCACTAGCTTTGCTTGTGCTTGTGAACTTATTATGTAACTGCTTGCTGTGCTGATTATACCCCACTTTGCCTATGGGGGTGTGTCAGAATGTGATATTTGTCTAGTCTGCAGTGGGGTACTCTATAGTGAGTACAGCCTGGTTAGGGTTTGCTATTTGTATCCCAACTGCCTGCTAGTGAAAACCCTCTTCCTTTCATTCCTATTTTACCTAGCTACTTCAACAGATCGTTCTAATCATGTTTGTGCTATGCGGGTTTTAAGCTGCGAAAAGGGAAGTGGAAGCTGCGAGAAATATGTTTAAACCATTGGACATGCAGGAGTAAGGTTGAGTTATATATTGATCGTAATCAATGTTCAAAGAACAGTACCATAGAGCAATCTAGAAACATGGCCGAGGTGGCCAGCATCCTATTAGGAGCACGTGGAATACACGTTATTCCTTTGTCCTAACGGACAACCGCCAGCAGACAAGGGAGACGCTCTCTGCGGTAGCTGCCTACGGGGGTCGGAAAGGGTTGCCCAGAATCCATGAGAATCTAAGGTCGGGGTGAATGGAGGGTGTGCCGCTCCTGTCGAAGAGGAGGAAGCGGAGTTTTTGTGCTCGCTTTATGCTGGAAAGTGTGCGTTGTCGCTTCTTGGTAGGTTGGCGTCTGATTCTCCACATATAAATCTTGAAGGCGATAAGGAATTGGGCTAGAATCAGCTGCAGTATCTCAAAGCTCGAGGAGGAGGAGTTGTGATACCTGTGGGCGCAGCGTCCATTTCACAACGTCTTAAGTGCAGCTCCCACTAGTAGGCTCCATGGGGGGGACTGTCCCACCCGTGACTGTATCGGGAAGAATATGTGCTCATTGGTGGTAGTTTGTCCAAGTGGCGATCAACGACTGTGCGGAGGGCCGGGATGACATTTTCGGCGGAGGAACATTCGAAGAAGATATGCGGCAGTGTCTCGACGATGGCAGCTGGGCATCGAGAACAGATCCCTCGATCGTCAAAGTACTAGAAGCGTGACCCTGAGGGAAGGGTGAGCGTGTAATGTTTGAAAAGGATGTCCCGCTGGCGGCTCAGCTGGTCCCTGAGAAATGAGTCCTTAAGGCCAGGGAGAGGAGGAGGAGGAAAGGTGAGGTTGCGGGTCCATCGGAGGTGATGAATTAGCGGTTGTGCTGAGTTGAGGAGACGGTGGATGTCGGCGATGCTGGGGGTGCCGTCCTGTAGAAGTTCTACCCTAGCTCCTAGCCTTGCCCCTATGTGAAGTGGCCCTGCAAGCCACCAATCCTTGACATGCACCTCTACGAGGTCTTGTAAGCGGAAGAGTCCGATGTCTGCTGAGGTGCGGGCGATGCGCTTGTTTGGCGAGACCTGGTGGACAGTAGCCGAGATGGAGGAGGGGGGAATGAAGGCAACAACTTGAAGGGCGAGATGAGAGATGGAATAGTGGTCGTCCGAGAGCATGAACCAGTCTCCTGGAGAGGCAGAGAAGGCATGTGGGGTTCGAAGGGCGGCCCACCAGGGAGGTTTGATAGCATTGATAAGGTCTGGGAGGATATGTGTTGTGTCTTCGTGGAATTCCTCCGGGACTTGGGAGCAAAATTCTTCTGCAGAAATGGGGCCGACATGAAAGTTGGTGATTCGGACAATGTGTCTGATGCGGAACTGCCCTGTAAGGAGGAAGCGCTCGTGTTGGCGGGTGCCAAAAGGCCATTTTTCGGGTTTGAGGAGCGAGCGGTTGAAGGCGATAGGTTCGGTAAGGGTTCAATGCATGCGTAATGGGGGGCCATGAACGTCCAGAGGAAGGGAGAGGAGGGCTTTTTGTTCGTCCAGCACCCGAGGGGGGATGAATGTGGGGAGATAGTCTCGTTCGAGGATGGCTTTATGGGAAAGTAGACCGTGTAGCCCGAAAGGGAACGGGGTCAGGGTACGTGCTACCTCCTCAGAGGGGGTTGGTCCGAACTGCGCAGGGCGCGCTGAATAGCAAGTGATTTGACTTATGTAGACGGGGCGATCGCCCCGACCCCGCCGTCTTGCGGAGAGTTGTACAGGAGGGCTATGGAAATGAGGCGTTGTGCGAGACCATCTTGTTTGTGTTTGGAGGACGAAAGGAAATTCCCAACTGACACATCCATGCATTTGACTGTGTCTGGTGGGGCGGGTTGAAGGCGTCTGGGAAAGGAAATGACAGAGTTCAGAAAGATCGAGGAAAGGGATTTGCGGCACGTGAATGTGGCGTGTAAGGCTGCCAGGAACTTGGCGGTGCTTTGTATGCGGGCAAGAGCCATATTCCAGGTAGTGGAGCCTAGGTGTAGACGCTCGACATAGATTCCGAGGATGCGTTCTGCCTCATTGGCAGCTCGGATAGGTATACTCCCGGCGAGAACGAGGTCAGCAGGGGGGATATTGAATGGAATTATGGAGCACTTGTTCCAGTTGGGGACCTCTTCGGAGATCGATTGCGAGAGTACGACGGTCTATCCTAACTTTGCTAGCTTGCCTGCACACTATTATGCCATTACTAGCTTGGGTTTATTTTATCATGCATAGTTATGCTTGATTTCCTAGGTTAGGTGCATTCCTATATTTTATTATAGTTATAGCACCGAACCAGGTTACGTGTAACGAACTCAAGCCTATTCGGTCGCCACCGAATTGCTCTCTACCAAGTTCAGGAAGGTTCTGTTCGGGACACTTCGCGACCCTCAGAACATTCGCGTAACACCTGGGTTACCTGCCTTGTGTTGAGCCTATATATAGCCTCGTATTGTACCCAGGTGGAGCATTCAATTCAAACCCTCTTTCCTGAGCTCGATCCTAGATCCTCACACTTGGTATCAGAGCCTGTTTGCACGCGAAGTTTTTCAACCGCTAAAACCTAGTTTTTAAAACCGCGGGGGCGACAATGAAACGCGCCGATTTTTTGTACGCAAACCAGTTCCGCGCCATTTTTCAACGTCCCCCTCAAACCGGTTTTCGAACACTCCTCAGGTCCTGTGGCAAAAAAGTTGGAATTTCGACCGTCGGATTGATTCGAATCTCAACGGCCATGGGAATTTCACCCAAAAACGTTGGAATTTGGAGCGACGGATTGAATCTCATCTCAACAGCCGAGATCGGATGCGAATTTCAACTAAGGGAGAATTACGCGACCTACAGAATCAGCGCTCGTCATTACTACAGTTGATTCAACTCGCGAATAGAGGAGCTTCTCACGAACCAGTCGGCAACCGCCATGGCAGTCGCCACGGCATTAGCGTATGTAGCAGCGAATGCAGCAGCGACGCCATCAGCAGCAGCAGCGGCCAAACCGACACTTCACCCAGTAGCAGCGGCAGCG